ATTTCTAATATGACCATTGTCATTAAATTAATGTGTAGTGTTTTGCATCAAATGAAACAGAATTTCTAATATGACCATTGTCATTAAATTAATGTGTAGTGTTTTGCCTCATATAAAACAGAATTTCTAATATGACCATTGTCATTAAATTAATGTGTAGTGTTTTGCATCAAATGAAACAGAATTTCTAATATGACCATTGTCATTAAATTAATGTGTAGTGTTTTGCATCAAATGAAACAGAATTTCTAATATGACCATTGTCATTAAATTAATGTGTAGTGTTTTGGTTCAAATAAAACAGAATTTCTAATATGACCATTGTCAGTAAATTAATGTGTAGTGTTTTGGTTCAAATAAAACAGAATTTCTAATATGACCATTGTCATTAAATTAATGTGTAGTGTTTTGCATCAAATGAAACAGAATTTCTAATGTAACCATTGTCATTAAATTAATGTGTAGTGTTTTGCATCAAATGAAACAGAATTTCTAATATGACCATAGTCATCAAATTAATGAGTAGTGTTTTGCCTCAAATGAAACAGAATTCCTAATATGACCATTGTCATTAAATTAATGTGTAGTGTTTTGCATCAAATGAAACAGAATTTCTAATATGACCATTGTCATAAAATTAATGTGTAGTGTTTTGCATCAAATGAAACAGAATTTCTAATATGACCATTGTCATCAAATTAATGAGTAGTGTTTTGCATCAAATGAAACAGAATTTCTAATATGACCATTGTCATTAAATTAATGTGTAGTGTTTTGATTCAAATGAAACAGAATTTCTAATATGACCATTGTCATCAAATTAATATGTAGTGTTTTACATCAAATGAAACAGAATTTCTAATATGACCATTGTCATCAAATTAATATGTAGTGTTTTGCATCAAATGAAACAGAATTTCTAATATGACCATTGTCATTAAATTAATGTGTAGTGTTTTGCATCAAATGAAACAGAATTTCTAATATGACCATTGTCATTAAATTAATGTGTAGTGTTTTACATCAAATGAAACAGAATTTCTAATATGACCATTGTCATTAAATTAATGTGTAGTGTTTTGCATCAAATGAAACAGAATTTCTAATATGACCATTGTCATTAAATTAATGTGTAGTGTTTTGCCTCATATAAAACAGAATTTCTAATATGACCATTGTCATTAAATTAATGTGTAGTGTTTTGCATCAAATGAAACAGAATTTCTAATATGACCATTGTCATTAAATTAATGTGTAGTGTTTTGCATCAAATGAAACAGAATTTCTAATATGACCATTGTCATTAAATTAATGTGTAGTGTTTTGGTTCAAATAAAACAGAATTTCTAATATGACCATTGTCAGTAAATTAATGTGTAGTGTTTTGGTTCAAATAAAACAGAATTTCTAATATGACCATTGTCATTAAATTAATGTGTAGTGTTTTGCATCAAATGAAACAGAATTTCTAATGTAACCATTGTCATTAAATTAATGTGTAGTGTTTTGCATCAAATGAAACAGAATTTCTAATATGACCATAGTCATCAAATTAATGAGTAGTGTTTTGCCTCAAATGAAACAGAATTCCTAATATGACCATTGTCATTAAATTAATGTGTAGTGTTTTGCATCAAATGAAACAGAATTTCTAATATGACCATTGTCATAAAATTAATGTGTAGTGTTTTGCATCAAATGAAACAGAATTTCTAATATGACCATTGTCATCAAATTAATGAGTAGTGTTTTGCATCAAATGAAACAGAATTTCTAATATGACCATTGTCATTAAATTAATGTGTAGTGTTTTGATTCAAATGAAACAGAATTTCTAATATGACCATTGTCATCAAATTAATATGTAGTGTTTTACATCAAATGAAACAGAATTTCTAATATGACCATTGTCATCAAATTAATATGTAGTGTTTTGCATCAAATGAAACAGAATTTCTAATATGACCATTGTCATTAAATTAATGTGTAGTGTTTTGCATCAAATGAAACAGAATTTCTAATATGACCATTGTCATTAAATTAATGTGTAGTGTTTTACATCAAATGAAACAGAATTTCTAATATGACCATTGTCATTAAATTAATGTGTAGTGTTTTGCATCAAATGAAACAGAATTTCTAATATGACCATTGTCATTAAATTAATGTGTAGTGTTTTGGTTCAAATAAAACAGAATTTCTAATATGACCATTGTCATTAAATTAATGTGTAGTGTTTTGGTTTTTATTTGGTTCAAATAAAACAGAATTTCTAATAAATGTCATCAAGATCTAGATCCGCCAGTGTATCAGGATTGCCCAAACAATTAAAAATTATTTTCTGGTATTCTTTATCATGTTAGAATTGTCATGGCGACATAGATTCATTTATAGCAAATGCATGCACTATGACTTCAGATTTTATTGTTTGCTGTCAAAGACTTCCAATTGCTTGTAATTTCTTTCTTTTGATATTGATTGTAAGTCATATATTGTACCATAATTAGAGGGGAAATCTTCAAATAATTTTCCAGAAAAAAGTCTGAAAGATGATTCTAAATTCTCATGATTTCATAATGTCAGTCTTGGTATAAAAATTCATGACTGATATAAAAATATCTAATAAAACTTATATCATTCTGGGACAAGAGTAAAGGCATTCTTATAATCCTGAATATTGGCAAATTCTATTTTTTGAAATAATGAAGCAGTCAATTGTAAATTATACAAAACACCTATGTTCTCTTCATATAGGAAGATGTTTTTATTTCTGCAACTGAATCAGATTTTAACCATGTTTCTATTTGTTTATGACTTCATGCGATTGAGATGACACATTATCATCCCTATAAGTGCAATTTGTATATGATATATTTTAGAATCAGCGTAAAAATAAACAGGTCTTGAACTCAGTTCAAGTTGTGATCAGTCTAGTCAATTCTTTATCTCAAATATTCCAGGTATTTTAATTTGTAGACATATAGCAGGTCAGTTGCCAATTCTTCAAATCTGCTAATTTTATGTGGAATGATTCCCTGAATATCTACTCTGTGTAGACCTGGATATAGTTCAACGTAGACCATTGAGATATGGCAGAACTTGAGTTAGGCGGCAATCTGCGCGAGATTCAGTTTTTACTTGGTTCAGTTTTTCATTAATGGAAGCACTTCATTCCCATGATTCAAATTACTTTTCTGCAATCAATTTGGTTTAAGTTTATACAATAAGCATCCACGAATTCGGGGCCAGTCGATATTCTGTTGGATGCATAGTTTTTTTTTTAACAGTTAAACAAATTATTCCGGCAATATAAGGTGCATTATTGGACTGCTGTGAAATAATGAATTTAAAGTGATAATCTATCTCAAACTATGTTCTACTCAGTTCTTGATTGCGCATGCGTTTTGATAATTTGAACCAATCAATTTGCTGAATTAAACATGCATGCGCCAAAAACCGAATCAGAAAATGGAATCTCGCGCATATTGCCTCTAGTGCAGGACTTTACAGACTTATAGCGAGGAATTCATGAAACTCTACAGGACTTGATATAAAATGAGGTCTCATCAAATCTTATGGGGCACATGTTGCCAAGATGTTTTTCAGCTGTATTTGTATAGGAAATGTTAACTGATACCTGAAAGGTATTAGGAGTCTGAATGCGAATTCATAAATTCACTAAACAATAATTTAAAGTGATATTAGAAATCTCTTGATTATCAACACTAGATAAAAATTATATTAATTTCATCTGAGACATAATTTTTGGCATAGTCTGTATTATAATATTAAATTGCTAACAATCTTGAAGAATGTTTTTTATTTGATATTACCATATAGAAATGTGCACTATTTTCATTGTTCTCTCAAATGTCAGCCATCATAATAATTTATGTGCTTTCAAATATGCCTTGTTCTGAATGTTGGATAAAACTAAAAAATTGCATACAACACTGAGGGGATGGAGTGAATAAAGATCAAAATGACCTGTCTTATTTCTGTACTTTACTTGAATTATTTCATCCTTGAGACATGTGATTATGCTTAATCCTCCTTACACCGAGTAATTGGCCATGCCCCCCCCCCCTTTCCCCCTTGCCCCTTTCTTTTTCCTGTCCAGTTTCAACAGTGTATTAGAGAGGAACTATGGAGGGAGGGGGGGGGGGTAAATACATAAAGTATCATATCACTGTGTGTCATTCTGATCATCATTTTATCACAGATCCAGAATAATGCAAGGAAAAAGTTGTGCAAAAAATGATGTGTTGATGAATGAATTATACGGCATTTCTAGAAATTCAAAATTCAAACGACCTGTGAAGAAAAAATAATTCTGGAGAGTCTGTTTTATATGACATTCTCTATTCAAGATATGAACACTCAACTCATTGGAAATTTTAAACTGGGTTAAGACAGTCTGCCATGTTGCTCTGTGATGTTTTAAGAACTAGTTAATTTACAAAGACTATCTTGTATGTGTTATTAATACTGAGTCATTGTTAGTGTTGTTTAGAAAAAATATGGACTTTGATAGGGGAGCAGTAAATCACAGTTAAGCCCTATGCTTCAGATGAAAAAGAAAAATTGTTTAAATTCTATTGGCCATGCATACTACTGTAAGAATAGTCCAAATATTAGAATAAAGTTTATTTTGTTGAGATGATCTAGAATCTTGAAATGAGTTCTGTTGCAAGTTGTAGAGTTCTTATAATGTGCATCTGCCTTGTATTAAACTACTTGTTGGCATTCTTGTAGTATAGTAACTCTCTGGAATTTTATTTTCATATCTCAAGACCTTTAAAAACACAAATGTTTTTATTATATATCGCTAAGATTTGTCTAAAATGATTATAAAGGTAATTTTAGATTTCTTTGTATTCATTATTTGATAGTGTCTGTTACTACCGTATATGCAAAGTAATTTTATTCTGAAAAAACATATTTGCAGCATTTAACTTTTATATATTTTAATTTAACTTTGAAATGTTTGTTTGTTTCAGTTTGTTCGACAATTGATGTACGCAACAGTCCACAAAACCTAATCCAACTGGAAAACTGTACCGTGATAGAGGGCTCTCTCTCGATAAATCTTGTAAATATATTTAAAACAAAAAAAATAAGTTATGAGCGTTATTCATTTCCACATTTAATAGAGATTACTGATTACTTATTTCTCTACAGAGTTGAAGGATTGACAACATTAAGAAACCTTTTCCCAAATTTGAGGGTAATTGGTGGAAGACATCTCTTTTTCAACTTTGCCTTGGTGGTATATGAGATGGAAGAATTAAAAGAACTAGGACTGAAAAGTCTGCAAGTAATATCACGAGGGAGTGTCATTATGGATAAGAACCATAATTTGTGTTATTTGGATACGGTTGATTGGGATCGGATAGTTATCAATCCAGTTGGTACAAATTCAGTGTTCTTTTATAAGAATAAAGACGTCAATGAATGCATCAACGCTTGTCCGAAGACCTGTCCAATAATTGAGAAGGAAATAGAAGAAGAAAAGGTAACGCAGCGAATCTGTTGGACCAACCAGGACTGCCAAATAAGTAAGTATTCGATCAAGTATTTTTTTTATTAATGACAAACACAAAGGGCAGCATTGTAAAAATACAAACCAAACAAGAATCCTTTTTATGGAGCTGTTACCCTTAGGCCGCATGAGCTCACTGTTCGCCACTGTATGGATATTTTGGGGCAGATTGCGGGGCATGTCACATATATACATTGTATATTTATAATGGGGAAAACAACTAGTTTACAGCAAGATATCCTCCATCACACTACATACAAAATTAATTAATAAAATAAATCAAAGATCAATGCCTAAAAATTAGCCACATGGTGGTGAATTGTGAGCCCACATGGCTTATGTGACAACAACTTGAGATTTTGAGTCTTCACAAAAACAGTGTATGCAGTAAAACCTGTGTATATCATATTCAATACTCACTTAACATGGTTTAAATACTTTGTTTTACTTCAAATCCTCACAATTATTCAATGAATTATAATTTATTTGATATATTACAAAGCTTTTTTATATTTTTTATATTTTCTTCAAGTTGAGTAGCTAACACGCTAGCCTTATTATAAATACACAATTGATTGAGCTAAACTTCATTGCTATTTTGTTGTAAATTATAAATCTTTATTACATGATTACTGATGACCTTAATAATAATCTATGCCAAAAACATATACATTTTCATATGGTACAGTATGTATATTTCAGTTCATATTCATATAATATACTTCCTGTGAAAAGTTATTCCAAACTAGATAAGTCATATGAGGTGAAAAGTTTTTTTCTCAGTGATAATTTTATATATTTGTGTCCATGAATATGTGCATATACATTATATTTGAAACTCTTAGTTACAAATCTTCAGCCTTCACATAAAGTGAAAAAAGTTAAAATGATGAGATGATTTTATAAATTATTATAATGGTCATCACTTTTTTTAAATTTCTATTTTGGTTAAATAATTTCATATTTTGTTAAATATTTTCATGTCCATACTATTACAATAAGTAATATAAATGTTCTTTAATGGACACATTCACCATTTTTGAACAAATATGAGACAAAATGGTGAATTATGTATTTGCATCACTCATACTATGAATGCCTATAATATCAATAAATTAAGAGATGTACCTTAAATATTTTTTTGTATGTCAGAATTTGCTCTAGTTTTCAAGTATGTAATCAGATTTTGATAATACTGGAAATTAAAAAAGTTATTAAAGAAAAAGTGACCCTTGAACAATTCTGTCCGGGCTACTATATAATATAAGATTATTCCAGTTAACAATCAAAATTTGTTAAATATTATATAAAACCTTGAATGTTCTGATACAAATTATTGATTTGCCCATCATAATTTTTTTGCCCTCGCATCAGTTCAACATCATAATGTCTATTATATGTTTTATACAAAAAGTCAGTACATGTATTCTTAATTCAGCGTCTTACTCTTTAGCATATATTTTTGTCTGAATAACATGCTTCAATACCTTCATGTACTACTGCTAAATGATATCTTTATCTACACTGGGGATTAATATCCCAGATAATTGACTCTTTCACTTTATATATAGGTATTCAAAGTTGTTTACAACATCTGACTCATATATTAGTGTGTTAACTGTAAGCCACTTGAAAGTTTGTCTCAGTTTTATAGATTTTGATTTTAAAAATAGCCATGTGTTTGTTTGCTAGTTAATAATTAGGTTTTTGCATTCTGACCAAGCTTTCAATAGGGTCACTCAGAGTATGTTTTTAAGTAAAATGTTTCACGGAGCAGTCTGTGCTTGTTACTGGAGGAAAAGTAATTTGTAAACGTGATGAAGTGAAGGTTCATAGTCCAGTGTGGATATTACACTCAGAATCAATAAACAAGAAAGACCTATGCTGTCATAAATACAGTTAAGTTGACACTTTTCTAAGTTTTCAGCACACTTGTTTTTCTCCCACGGGATGTTGGTATACTCATTACCCAGGCCAACATTAATTTTCAAAATCAGTCTTTGAATTAGAATGATTCAGAGTTGAGAAGGTGCTTTTTGTTTAATTTATTTTCTGGTGCTAAGTATGTTTGTAAAGTTTGTGAACAATTTACAAAAAAATATTAATGCTATAGACTGCAATATAAATGGGCTAAGTGGGGTTATTAATCTTGACTGTTCTATACACAAGGGTTGATCAATAACAACTGTGAAAAGCGAAAATGTACTTTTATTATTTAGTGGTATTTGTATTGGTAAATGTGCTACTTTTGTATATTTAGTATCTTACTGACATGCCATTGTGAGGTTATTCTTATTTTTTACCTAAACCTTATGTTTTGCAATAAGAAATAATAATTCTGTAGACCACAATATTAAATAGGCTAAGTGCGTTTATTGACCTATACCACACTTAACTTATTAGGGTCATTTTTTACTCTGTGCAACTGACTTATTTTTTATGAGTGCAAATGAGTGCATTGATTTATTTTCATTTTTGCAGAAAACAATTTGAGCTTAAATTCAAATTCAGATGTGCAATTTTGGCTCATACAGGGGTTGATCGATAACAACTGTGAAAATGTACTTTTATTTAGTATATGAATTGTACTTTATGTATTCATGAGCTTTTATTGAGCGAAATCTTGCTGACATGCTATTGTTTAGCTCATTGACTGTGAATATGGCTACTGCCTTTGTTTGAGAAAAGGAGCAACTTTATAATTAATTTTTTGAGACGGAATATACCTGTATCTGTCCTTATGTTGTATGTACAACTGCGATTTGTCTACATTTTGATTTTTGATAAAATAATATGAACAGTGTCTCTTTAAAAAGATTTGTAGTGTATGAAAGCTCAGGTCTGAACAGAGAACTGAAATTATTCTCTCAAATTTCTGCATAAACAGATCCCCATTTTTTAACGTGTTTCCTAGAGATGTAAAACTTGGTCACATGTGTATTTGATGCTGGAAAGCAATATTTTTAATCCATTATTTAATAAATGTAATATTATATAATGTACATTAATTTGATCATTCTCCTATCCAGTATATCCGCCATAGAAATATCAGCACTCCCCTGACTCTACTCAGACTATTGTTGATAGATACGACAGTTATAAGCATACAGCATATGATAGGTGTTTAACAGTTAGATACACTAACCTTACAGGGTTAGATTAAAAATACAGTGTGTTATTATCCTATAGGCAACAAGAGGTCACCTCTATGCTGTCTCTTGATATTAACTAGATAAAAAGAGATCATTTTATTCAAATAGTATACACATTATTATGTCACCACCACAAGTGGTGACATATTGTTTGAGGTCTCTAATTTTTTGTGAATGGTGTTTGGCATTTAGTGTTTGACATTCAGCTGTTGGCATTCAGTGATTAGTATTTGGCATCTGAAACAAATGGCAGGTGGTGACATTTTGCATGTTAATGCAGTGTTATACATGTATATTTGTATTAGTGCGTATTTTTACATTTTGTAACAGGTACAAGACAAAATGACATTGTTTGGCTCTCAACAGCAATGCTTTATGTGATGCGACTTAAATTCTGTATTAAGAAGAACGAAGAAAGAACCGTGTCATGAAAACCTATCAGGATAGCTTAAATCTAATTAGATTATCTGCCTTCTGTGTTATTGATATGTTTTTTGAACAACATCCTTATTATTTATGAAGAAGGAACTGAAAATAACGTGAAATGATTAATTGTCAAGCCGTGGTGCCAAATCACATTCAAAACCTCAAAAAACATTTTATTTAGATTTTCTGTATTAAGTTATTCATTTTAATTTCAGCTTGTCCATCCTCTTGTGGCACGCAGGGTTGCTTTTATGATAGTAATACGAATAGGAAGACATGCTGTTCAAAAGATTGTCGTGGCGGCTGTACTGGTCCATTGGCAAGACAGTGTAAAGCATGTGTCAAGTTTATCCATCAAGGCGTATGTGTCCCTCGCTGTCCACCCCACACTTTGATTGTAAGTAAAGATTTCTAACTTCAAAGTAACCTTTCCCAAAAAGGTAACTGATTAAAAGAGAGAGAAGTGGGTACAGGATCTTGTTTGTATTTTTCTTTTCGCCATATTTTGGTGAGCAATACCTCATGTTAATGAACCATAATATGTGGGCCTAATTAAGGATACTACATGTACTGTGTCCTAAAGTCTGAGAAATCCTTTTGCACTTACAGTATAGAGATAGACGCTGCATATCAAAAGAGGAGTGTAAGGATCCTTACCTGAGAGGTCATGACAAGAAGAGGAACTTTAAAATCTTCAAAAATGAAAAGGAAGAGGGCTTGTGTCTTCCGGAATGTCCAAGTGGCTATATGGACGATCCCAAGGACTCGCACAAGTGTGTGGCTTGCAAGTCATCTTGCCCAAAAGGTATGTACACACATTTTATTTGAAAAAATCCCTAGATTATTTAGTTTCACATTATTTTTTATAATATTTTATCAAAGCATTAGAATCAACAACAGCTTATTGGCTTAACTCTAATTATATTGATATTTGGTCATATTCTAAAATGAGAAAATTTTTGGGAAAATTTGAAATGTTGAATCATTGCAAATGTGTTTGTTGGAATTATCCAATAACATGTTTTTATCTCACATTTGTAATTGTGTTTCGTAACTTGTACATACTTCGAATAAATAATTTAGCATTTAAAGCATCGTTGATATTATATATTGCAATCATAACAGTAATATTGCACATGCATATGAAATACTGGTCAAAATATTACCTCTTTGTGAAACTTAAGACAAATTTCACATTTGCATATTATTGTTAGAATAAAACTAAGTTCCTTCCTATCATTCTTGAACTGATACCCTTATAACATTGATTTATTACATGGCAATGAACTCAAAGAAAATTCATACAAACAAGCCGTATATATCGATTAATATAACAACCTCTATTTAGACCCAGAACTTTGTTTACTTATTATCGAATAACGCTCTTGGATTTCTATTCAATTCTATTTTCACTGGAAATTTGCCATTGTAGACAATAGAAATTTTGTAAACATTTGCATTTCGGTATTAGCTTTTCTTTTGTTATTGAGGGAGTTATTGAGGGATAGATGGCGTCATTTTGTTGTTTTAGTCGGTTATAATTGAGCATGATTCTCAGTTGTTGAAGTAAGCTTTTTTCGTTCACCTTTAATATCAGATGATTTATTATTAGTTAATTTATCATTGTCAGGTTGCGTCTAAGATCGGTCTTTCTCAAGTATCCTATAATTGGATGCATTTTATACTTCCTGTTTTCCTCATGAATCGGAAGTCGCAAATTTGAAGGTGATGAAAATAGCGAAGAAATTATTTACTTATTAATGTTATCATGAAAGTAATGGTTTACGAATGCGAACAAATTGAAGATCAGTTCTTTAATGAGTTTTAATGAAGTCTTGATTAAAGGGAGTATACTGAACGTTTTAAGTAGACATAGGGTTGAAGGTGTGAAATCTTTGCTCAAGTGATTAAAGCTAAGCTTGTATTCGCAAATGCAACTAACGCCTGTGTGCTACCGGATTAACCTACTATTTCACGACCAACTCATTTAAATGGAATGAATGGAATAGTGACAGGTACTATTCATATTTAAATGAAATAGTAGGTTAATCCGGTAGCCGGCAGGTGTTAGTTGCATTTGCGAATACAAGCTTAGTGTTGATATTTGATATTTAAGAGGCGATATAATGATATCATATGAAATGAATTGATGTTGGGTTTATCCCATGATTGAAATCAAAAATTTAAAAAAACTTTAAGAAAAAACTTAAAAACTAAAAATTCAAATCATACAGATATGTGGCTAATAAATGATATCCGCCTCATATGGGGCTGAAAGAATATCACATTCATCTCCATAATATCAAAAACATCACTCACTGTTATTGTACATGCAGGTATTTGTGGGATATCCATTTTGAGGAATATTGTTTTTATCTATGAGGTGATATTGATATCTGCACGAGAGAGCAAAGCGAACGAGTGCATATATCAATATCACCGAGTAGATTAAAATGATATTCTGAAAAAATCATAGGATGTTTTTATTATCCTACACTTACAAGGAGTGTACTAAATGAATAATATCATTGCAAAATGAATTTCATGCCAAATAGAGTCAATTTGGCGGGAAATCAACAAAAGAGTATATCGTCACAGTATCCTCCGCATATTGTGTTTTCCGGAGTATATCGTCACAATATCCTCCACATATTGGTTTTCCAGAGTATATCGTGGCGATATCCTCCGGTTATTCATTTTGCCAATAGATATAGGAATATAGGAATATCCTATGGTTTTGAAAAAATATCATTTATATCCATGAGTGGATATTGATATCTTCATGACTGAGCACAAACCATCGAAACCATTGAATATCTTTTTTTTTGTCACCATCGAATATCACTTTTGAAACCAACGAATATCACTTTTTAATAAGTGATATTCGATGATTTGAAAGTGATATTTGATGGTTTGGGAATTTTTTGCTAAAATGTGATATCTTGATCCGCATATGAAATATCATGTCTTCATGTGATATTCGTGAAATTCCCAAACCATCTATATCCTTTTAACCATGGAGTAAAACACCATAATTGTGGAACTTCAATGTCTTGTTCTGTTTCAGTTTGCCAAGCTTCGTGGATAACCAGTGTGTCTTCTGCAGAGAAACTGAAAGGCTGTACCATCATCAATGGATCTTTAGAACTCCAGATTACAAGTGAAGGAGGAGGTATGCTACTAATTAACATAATTCCATTCGATTATTGCAGACATTCAAATACTGAATAAGTTCTCTTAGATTACAAAGAAAAAGAGTGTACTTTTCATCTAATCATGTGATATTTTTTTAATCAAAAACAATTAAAATGTGTTCAGTTAAAATTGAATTTTAATTTTTTCTTCATGATTTTAAAACATAATGTTTATGGGGATTCTAACTGGGATCATATTTCAACAAAATTGATTTTTAAAGTTGATGGACAGTTTCTAAAATCACATTTATTATGTAATTTCAAATACATGTAATGCTTTATTACCTTATTAGGAAGTATGGGCTCGGAACTTGAAAAGAGTCTTGGAAAAATTGAGAGAGTGACGCACTACGTCAAAATTATACGCTCCTATGCTCTGATGTCTCTCAGCTTCTTGAAGAGCTTGAAACAAATAGATGGTGTCAGTCTAGAAAATGAAGAAAATGGGTATGATTCACACCAGTCTCGGATATTTCGAATTTTTTACAATTTTGATCTATTTATATTTCCTGGTTATAAATGCATGCACAAATATATGCCATTCCCCAAAAAGTTTAGATTGATTTTCTGGTTGTTTAATATTTTTAATCCAAATTAGACAATTTGCGCCGTATTGGAGATTGTTTCAGGGGATTTGGAATGATAATTGTCTCATTATCATATCATCTGACAAAAGGCAATATGAATGAAAAACATCTTGCAAAATTAAAAAAAAAAGAAATTTTTTTGTCAGCTGCTTATGGAACACCTATACCTTAGTAATCTAGTCGTAATTTGAAGGAAGATGTTTGTCTATTTAAGATTCTTAGTTTATTACTAAATGAAGACATAATGAATTACAGCCTATATTAAAATAAATAAGTTTTGAAAATCACATTTTAACATGTGTTATTTTCTTACATGTAGGTACGCACTTTACCTGCTTGACAATGAGAATCTACAAGAGATTTGGGATATTGAGACACATCCAAAACTAGAAATCAAGCATGGCAAAGTCTTCTTCCATTCCAATCGAAAACTTTGCCATAGTAAGATATTAACATTCCTGAATGACTCTGTTATAATGGACCCTAGAGTAAAGAAGAGCCACGACACCAACGACATCTCGGATAAATCCAACGGCGATCAGAACACATGTGAGTTCGAGAATTAAAAAGCGATGTTAATACATAATATCATTTTTTCAGGTCAGACACAATCATAATCATTCTTTGCAGAATATTATTTCAGTATTGAGGCATTAATACCCTAATATCCATCTGAATATTTCATCTGAGATCATTTAAATAATCTTAAAATTCTTGAACTTTCTTATATTTCTTTGTATCAATTGACTGTTCTATTACATTACGTTTAATCATGTTTAATATATCATCTACTTAACCCATATAAAAGTTTTAAACATTTGCAAGTTTTCAAATTTCTACAAATCTTTAACGTACATTTCTATGTCCCCACTACATTGTATGGGGATATATTGTTGGCCTAAGTCTGTATGTATGTCTGAACAACATTTTGCGTAGTTCACCATTTAACAGAAACAATTACAACTTTATTTCAACTCCTCGTCTTCGATGTTTTCTTTAAATCTTTTAAAACCCAGTTGATTCAAGAACCAAGATCCCTGCACCGCATTTTGAATGATTGAATAGCCTTTGCTTTATCATGGTTTCTTTTAATGTATTATGATGAATTAGTCTTTTATTTCAAAATTAAATGAATCTAATGTAAATCTGACAGTTTTTAAGAATGAATTTATAGAGCTGATTGACTTTTGGGTGGCCATCTTTTTTTGGTGGCCATTTTTTGATAAATCTCGTCATCACCATTGATGTAAAACCATAATGCCTTATGTTTCTGTTTGATGGTGTGATTTATTTCATGTCATTTGCCTTCTTGAGTTTATGAAAGAAAGTTTGACAGTGGGCTCAAGCCTATTTATGGAGACTAATAAATGATTATCCAAAGGTGGAGGAAACATATTGTACACTATGTGTCCATGTATAGATTTGTATGAAGTTACAATAGCCTAGATTTTGAAAGATGAATTCATTAATTATGTAATCTAAAATCCAATTTTAATTTTACATTTTTGCATTTTTCCCGTTTTTGTTTTTAACAACTGAGAGAATTAAAGAGCACCATTATTCAGCACCATCTATTTCTGGAGCGGTTATGGTTTTTGTTCACATATCACAATAGTGCCATTAATGTAGGGAAAGCCTTTTAACACACCCATATCATATTTTTCCTTTTGGTTATATATGTTTTTTCATAATATGATGCTCGTTTGTTTCTTGTGGAAGTTGTGTTTGGGATGGTTTTTAAACTACATTACTAACTCTTGGAGAGTACATACTGTTTAGCAGCATCAGTAGGTATAGCTTAGGAAATGTCCATTTTGTGTTTTTTTGGTAATAATTTGGTAATTCTTTTTCTTTTCAAGTATTTAGTAGCTTTTTTGTTCATTCATTCAGAATTCAGGTATCTCATGGAAATCATAATCAATACTGTATGAAGCCTGGGTTCATTTAGTCACCGCATGGTAGAGAGATGCATTTCCACCATGAATGTTAGTTCGGGACCCGTATTCATACACTTCTAAAAATTCACACTTAGTAGGATGTGAATACTTCCAGTCTATCCTGTATTACCATTGTCTTTGATCATAAGGAAAAGGGGCAAATTTTGAGATCGTGTCTTGTAGATTGCCTCTGTAGGTTTATGCTGAATATTAATTGTTTGGAAATTATTCCCTATCCAGGATTACTCACTTCTTATATTTGGTGAACCTTTTTATGAATAGATTTCACAGGTATTTGAAATCATGAAGGAAAAATGTAAATTGAGCCCTATGTCTTTGAGCCCTATATGCTTCTAACTAAACTCCAGGTTTTTTTCTTCTAAAATGCCTGTTTTTAATGCTTTATAGTATTGTAAATTAGCAATGCATGGACGCTTCTTTTTAATGATAGGCTTCAAGTCACTGTTCATACTTGTCATGAATACCACATTGCTCAATTTAATGTTTCAAAGCTCACTGCTAGTGGCCGACAGCTCACAGTTTATGACATCACGCTCATTGTTACTGACAAAAAGTTCACTGTTTCTAATATTGCCCATTATTAGTGGCCTATAATTTACTGTTATGGTGTCACACTAACCGCTAGTGACATCAAGTTTACTATTAATTGCATCACGCTCATTGTTAATAAAATCAAGCTCACTGCTATTAGGCCTCAAGCTCCTGTTTATGGCCTAAAGCTCCTTTTTATATGATATCAAGCTCACTGAAGTATTGGTCTCAAGCTCCTTGATATGTAACATCAAGTTCCATGTTATATGACCTTGAGTTCATTTTGATATTTCCCAATCTGTTATGTAATTTCAAGATTTCGTTGATATCACCTATTTATTTCTACAATTTCAGTTTCATAAAGTTACAGTATAAAGCAAACATGGATGTAGTTACTGTATTTCATAGTTTATATTTGTAATTTCCTCCTAAACTAATTATTCATCAAGCAATAACAAAACTTCAGTTGATCTGTTAATTTCCATTTGTTCTAAAAAGATTCTGAAATCGAGCCATTTTCAGATTCCTTTATTGAATTCAGTCTTTTTGCAAGTTTTTGCATATATATTTGCAGATATTTTTTCTAGTTTATATACGAGTTTATATGGAATTATTTTTTTCTTGATTTAGAAAGTATCAGTGATGCAGTAATAGCAGTAGTTGATGTGATGTTTTATGATATTTTTTCTGTCAAATTGCTTAATATTTTATTCGTGGTGCTGCTGATAAATCGTTGCATTGATTTTTCTGCATGTATTTCAATATAGGCTGAAACGGAAGATATTTCTGCTAGATATATAATGTTGTGACATTTAAATTGGATTATGAACTAAGAGAATTGAACCCTTGAATGTTATTAAAACTATAAGCATGGGGACTAAATCATTCATTGATTATGTCTTTAGCATGCTAAATTAAGTTTCTGTATTATTTTGCTCGAATGGATCACTGACCAGATTTTATTAACGATAACCCATGCATTTGGGCTTCAAATGTCTTGGGGTTGTATTTTTTCGAAAAAGTGTCCGGGACCCTTTCTCGAAAATGTTTCAAGGGGCTGTTTAACAAAAATTAGTTAATGTTCTATGATATCACAGGGTAACTAAGCAGGTGTTGTTGTATGTTTAATTTGCCTGTGATGTAACCTTGGTAACGGTTGTGATGTAATCTGTGCAGGTTCTGTCACTCAGCTGATAGTGAATGTATCAAGAGTTGCGAACTCAACAGCCATCTTGGAGTGGAATGCCTTTGATCCCCCTGACTCAAGGGAACTACTGAGTTATGGGGTATTTTATAGAGAAGCGTGAGTATTAGCTAATAGAAGGGCAGTCTTGGGCCTGTTGCTTCTGTGATCCTAGACTACGGGCCCTTGTTGGTTGTGTATAGGCAGCTGTTCTCTTAATATGTGAATCCTCTCACTATATACAGCTGTTGGTACATCGTGAACTGCAGCTGTAATGGCAGAAACGAGAGTAATCTGTACACCTATACATATAGAGCGCTTATATGATGCAAAATATTGTAAAAATTCACTTTTTATCTGCATGTTGGTTTTATATGGTGAGAAGGTTTATCAATTATGTTCTTTATGTGTGTTGAGCATGCTTCGCTTTTCTATTACTTAACTTGTAAACTGGAGTAGGTGTCCCACTTTCTTATCTTCCAAATGAATGTAACCATGGTTAAAACACTCGCATCATAAGATATAAACCAATCAAAATACCCCATTTGGGCTTGTTTTACTTTGTTGATATGGTAACTAAATTACATCATCATACCAAAAACAAATAGCTGACCAGTTACCATAAATAGAGATATTGTCTTGGGTGTTTATATCTATTGACTTGAGTTGTTTTATCATTGGTTACCATGCTTATACTAACTTTTTGCATTCGGCACTGCTGTCCCCCCAACCAAGATCCTCGCCCCTCCTATAATAATCATACCCTTGAGGGAGTTACAGGATCTTGTGTAGGGTTTAGTTAAGCAACTATAGGGCTAATTGGGGTGATGTAAATTACATGTATATACTTTAAAGCAATGATTTTAAAAATGATAAACCTATCATGTAATTTACTGGTGTGATTATCTAACCCAGCGCTATGCAAATGCCGTCCATGTTACTAGAGGCTTCACAAACATTCTCTAAGGTATTCATGCATAGCATTATAACAGCAGCATAATCTTGATGATAAAGCAGCTGCAAATCCCCCCCCCTCCCACTTCACTGGTCTGTACCAATGTCACCAGGTAATTGATGTATCTCTATATGAACGTTGTCTTATTATTTCTCCCCTCAAAGGCGTCTTAAGCAAGTTAAAGGTACAAGTAACTGCAGTGATGACCGTGGCGGCGACTATCATGTGGAACCAATTCAAAATTGCTGACATGAGAGAACTTCTCAGCTATGGGCTATTTTATCGGGAGGCGTAAGTATTTTATAGAGCGTTATCCTCAGTTCCACATCTTTCCACCAGAGTTCATAAACTAATACTTCTACTCATCTCACGTCATGTGATGTCATCCATCGATGCATTGTTATATGACATCATTGTTTTGTTACATACACAAAATATTGCCACGTTATCTCATGATTTAAAAAATCACTTTGTTATAGTTTTTGTCACATTTTCTCAAAATATGAGGACATTTGATGTCAATTTTCAAAAAAAATTAAAAAGATTTTCTCGATGTAGTGTGGTTTTAATTACAGAAAGTTTAACGGACTCATCAAGAAGATGTTCTCCATTTTTGTCTTCTTGTAGCTTAGCACCTTAAATTCAACATTGTAGCCACCAAGGAAACATTTAGCAATACCAATAGAAAGTATTTACTATTTAATTCAGGCCTGTAGCCTTTCTTTTAAAATCATGCAGTTTTTCAACATTCTGAGCACTTTTCACATGATTTTTTTCCCCAAACTGTCAGAAAGCTCCCTCCCCGTTGGCAAATTCCCGGCTAAAACCCCCCTTAGTAAAACCGCCCCCCCCCCAAGTAAATCCTGGCTACAGGCCTGTAAATATTCTTGGTTTTAGCTAGGTATAATTGATTTTACCAATCTTCGTTCTTCACCTGTAACATGTCACAGGTGTTATGTACATACATTGGACAATTTTTTCATCAATTTCACTCCAGATCGAAAGTTCAGCTCAAATAGATCCGTACTATTTTATTCTTCATACCCAGTACTAACAAAAGCCAACCCCTGTTTTCTTTCTTATTGCTATAGTAGTTAGAATACAGTATATTTCTTAATCTTATCCGCATTTACATTACTATAAAATAATTAAATGCTTGTATAGTAGAAGTGAATTCACAAACATTAATTCCTTGTTGATTTGTGACAGACACATTAATATGGCTTAACACATTGTAAACAAAAGTTCTGTATATGTAAACAAAACTTCTAATTGTGAGTCCTTTCAAGTTAAATGTTCTCAAGATTTCTAAACTGTTCACATAGTCTTTGTGGTTCACATAGTGATTGTAGTCCTTATAGTTCCATGTTAGTTATTGTATATATAATTTACAGCACAGCTGTTTATAAGATGCACATACGAGATTTTAGTGATAATTTTTTGATAGTATAATAGAGGGATGGCTTTTCAAAACAGGTGAACCTATGTTCTGTGCAAGGCCACCACTTTGATATCGTCCCTTCATTACTGCTAATTTGTATTTGTGAAAATAAACATCAATTTGATATAGTCCCTTCACCACTGCTAACATGCATTAGTGAAGATTAGCATATCATTTTGATAAAGTCCATTCACCACTGCTAATTTGCATTAGTGAAAATAAAGATATCAATTTGATAAAGTCCATTCACCTCTGCTATTTGCATTAGGGAAAATAACCATATCAATTTGATACAATCCCTTCACTCTAGTCCCACTCAAAGTACACATTTTAAATCAGGGGGTTAACTCCAGAGTTCAAAGATGACATAATGCTTATAATGTAAATCTGTATTGAGATGACGTATGTCTCTGATTGCCAAAATTGAAAAACAAAAATTTTCTAATAACGTTTCGAATAATATAATGTTAATTCCTGGCGTGTTAACCAACATCATAGCTTGTTATTTCAAATCAAGATAAAGAAAGAGTAAATAATATGCTTACATTGGTTAAAACATCACAACAACGCGTTATATTAAAAAACTAACTGGTGAGAGTTTGCACAAACGAAGGTTGTACACAAGAAACGTAATATGTCAGTCATCGCAAGAGCCCTGGGGGTTTCCCCGTCTTCATATTAAATACAACAATTATTTTCAACTCATGCTCGCTATGGACTACCTGGAAAATAGTACATGCATTGAAACCTAATGCTTAATGCTTTTGCTTATGATATGCTTTTAATTAATGAGTAAATGCTTAATTCACACACATTAATTGCAAGTAGACTAATTGTTTAATTTGTTTCAGAGATATGACCAGAAGTTTTTAAATATTTTTGAATATATTGACCGATTCTTACTTTTCAGTCTTACCAATTTTTCTGCTCTGGGATTGTGTGAATTGAGGTCTAAGCTTTGAATGCTCATAGATTAATTCATTATGGTGCTTTATAAGGGGATGGTTTTCAAAATTCTACTGAAATTTGTATGGCTGCTTTGTGCCTGGAATTTGTCATATATGAATAAAGTCCTATGTAATTAAAGGTACATTTGCGCTTGTTGGAATCAAACATTAGACCTTGGGGGAGAAATTATTTTCAAAAAGCAGCATATTAAAGTTTAATATATTATAAGTTATTGAATGATTTGAAGTGCAATATAGGATATATTCAGCTCGAGAAATTCTATATTGGAACGAGAAAAAGTTTTAGGGTCCCATATTAAAGAAATTTATATTCAGTTTGAGATACTATGGGGAAATTCAAGTGATGGGGCAAAAACAGTCCCACCATCAAGATCTATAAAAAAATTCCAGCACAGCCTCAATTGCATTATAACAGAAGCAGTCAATACCATTCGCAAGCATGTTTTATTGACACATTAAATAACATAATCATTGCTAGACATTAGACTTGTGAAATTCCAATGATTTAAACGCATTAAGGGCAACATTTGAAAGGCAAAACTAAAACATAAAAGATACAAGCAAATGAACTTACAAATAGTGAAGTTAACAAATGTTTTCTCTCAAAAATGTTTTTATTATCACTATGTAGGTCCTTTTTGCTTGATATTTGTTAGTTTATTTGAGGCATGCATGGTCATTAGACATTATCACAGTATATTCTACCATGTATACAATGTATGTACATATGTATTTGCATGCACAACATTGTACATAGGGTTACTTTGTAGATATTCATCACAGTAATAAGGTTATGCATCATTGCATCAATGATATTTTTATTTGTTCAATTTAAATTTCATGCATATCATTAGGATGCTCACGTTTTTATTATTTTTTATTTAACGACTATTCTTTTTTAGAATTGTAATGATTCACATTATGCCATTTCATGTTATGTATTGTATTGTACTGTATTATACATACATTACTGTACCATTGTGTTATGGTATATTCCATGTTTAGCCCAATTAGATTTTTAAATACTTTCCATCAACCACTTTCAGGCCATTTAAGAATATATCAAGGTACAGTGGGAGAGATGCCTGTGGATCAGAGGTGTAAGTATATTTCATTAACAAATCTTGAAAATATCAGGAAATTGTTCCTCATGAATTGTATCTACAGTACATGTATTTACTAGGCTAAAAGTTAAGTTTTTATCATACCTTAGAAGTACCATATAGTCATCAAATTGGCATTCATCTCACTTTTCTTGTCTGCTCATTTCGAAACAAACTGTTATGTACATGTAGATTGATTTGAAATTGTCAGTGTGTATTTTTTATTTGAATATCTTGAACTTATTTGAATTTGGGAATACTGGTAAAATTTAAGGCAGCCTGATTTTTGTGCACAATTTTTGTTCATTTTGAACTCCTATTATGAGTACAAATGATGTAATGTTAACTATAATTGAAATACCTCTTGATGGATTTGGTTTATAAATGAATATTTCTTGTATGTTGTTTTGACGGAATGTGCAAATGAGGAACAGTTTCAGAAACCATTTTGTTTGGTGGATTTTGATACTTTGTAGAGTTAGTCTTTTTTTGTAATGTATGTAAATTCAGTTTGAATTTCCCTGTTGACTAACTGCCTTAATAATTTATTGATTTGACGTTTTTAGTTGGAATATCAAAGACCAGGAAGTGACACAGGGTAACAATATTGTGTTCCTCCTTGTTGAGCTGAAGCCCTGGACTCAGTACGCCCTCTATGTGAAGACATACTCAATCCGATCAGCAACAAATGGCGCTATTAGTGACATCATTTACTTCACAACTAAACCTGATACGCCCTCCTCTCCCCAAAATCTCGATGTCCACAGCCGACAGAGAGAGTTGAAACTAACTTGGGAGAAGCCAGAGAGACCTAATGGCAATGTGACGACGTACAAGATCTACTATGTTAAGAGGAGGATTAACAAAGCTGAATATGACCTCAGAAATTACTGTGAGAATAGTAAGTGGCTAGTGCGTAATAGTTGTTGGTTAATTTACAATACTTCATGAAAAAATTTCTGAAAAAGTCATTCATTGGCTTGTGGAGTTTATATCCAAATAAGACTCAGTTTTATATTTCGTATATAATACAGATTCCCTCGAAACATATGGTATATGGGCTATGATAGCTCATAATAACCCCCTCAAACATAGGGTATATGGGCTATAATAGCTCATAATAACCCCCTCAAACATAAGGTATATGGGCTATGATTGCTCATAATAACCCCTCAAACATAAGGTATATGGGCTATGATAGCTCATAATAACCCACTCAAACGTAAGGTATATGGGCTATAATAGCTCATAATACCCCCCTCAAACATAAGGTATATGGGCTATGATAGCTCATAATAATCCCCTCAAACATAAGGTATATGGGCTATAATAGCTCATAATAACCCCCTCAAACATAAGGTATATGGGCTATGATGGCTCATAATAACCCCTCAAACATAAGGTATGTGGGCTATGATGGCTCATAATAACCCCCTCAAACATAAGGTATATGGGCTATGATAGCTCATAATAACCCCCTCAAACGTAAGGTATATGGGCTATGATAGGTCATAATATCCCCCTCAAACATAAGGTATATGGGCTATGATAGCTCATAATAACCCCCTCAAACATAAGGTATGTGGGCTATGATGGCTCATAATAACCCCCTCAAACATAAGGTATATGGGCTATGATAGCTCATAATTGCCCCCTCAAACATAAGGTATATGGGCTATGATAGCTCATAATAACCCCCTCAAACATAGGGTATATGGGCTATGATAGCTCATAATTGCCCCCTCAAACATAAGGTATTTGGGCTATGATAGCTCATAATGTTTTGTAACCAAGTGTAAGGCGTGAGTGGGAACACGATTTAATATAAGATTACCATTGTATAGGAAATTAGGAGGATTTAGTTTAGGAATTGAAATTTGTACCTATTAATAAAATTATGACCACTATGTCAGAGATTCTTATAAAGCACCCTGTAGGATCAATATGCTGTGATTCTTCATGAGCCCCCCCCCCCCTCCCAAAAAACATGATGCATGTATGAATGTGTCTGGAAATACAAAGAGATATAAGAACCCCCATATAGACCTTCGCTTGTGAGCACCGAAAACTTGGAAAAACACATTGAAGTCTAATGATGAAACTTATGTTACTGAAAAATAATAGAATGCATGTTCAAATCCAGAGAAAATGGTCCAAATGCTCATAACTAATATATGTGTATTGCAGAACTGCGGCCAACAAAGCCTGATCAAGATGATGAGGAAGTCATTGAGGGAGAAGAGACAAACAAGACCATGATAGATGAGAACTGCTGTTCTTGTGAGCCTGATGAGAAAACGGAAAAACGTGACAAAGCAGATGAAGATCGTGCGATGCGGATAAATCTGGAGAATTACATACATGATCAAGTCTACAAGCCACGGTTTGTCTTTGATTCAGCTTATTTGTTAAACTTCCTGTTTTATGTCTGGTTATTTGTGTTAAACAAGTACTGAACCAACAAATAACTGTGATTCAAGTATTGAACCAACAAGTATTTCACAATAACTATGCCATAATTACAAACTGTTGCTCACTCCTCTCAGTTGAAAGTATTGAATTCAGTGAGTGAAAAGGATAATTCTGTAGGACTACAAAAGAATTACAAAATGACCCACATGTGAATTGTTATATATCAGGACCCTTCTATTTGCTTGAAATTATTCATAGTGCAAAACTTTGTACAAAACTTGTACAAAGAAAATAGACAGAATGACACTCATACTACCTTTAATAAGGGCTGGAACTTTTATTGAAAGTACCTCCATTTGTTCTACATGTATTTTTCAATTTGCCTGTTCAGGAATTCAAAGGAAACATCTGAGGGCAATGCAAGACATCTATTCCTCACATTTTTAAGAAGCATACATTGGATCATAAAAATACTAGTTTTACTCCCATTAAAGTAGAATGATGACAGCCATCGTAATTAAACCAATTTCATTTAACTTGCATGAAAATAAAATGACAGCCTTCATAATAAGACCAGTTCCATTCAACTCACATGAAAGTAGAATGATGACAGCAATCATAATTAGACCACTTTCATTCAACTCACATGAAAGTAGAATGATGACAGCTATCATAATTAGACCAGTTTCATTCAACTCACTTGAAAGTATAATGATGACAGCTATCATAATTAGACCAGTTCCTTTCAACTCACATGAAAGTAAAATGATGACAGCCATCATAATTAGACCAGTTTCATTCAACTCACTTGAAAGTATAATGATGACAGGTATTATAATTAGACCAGTTCCATTCAACTCACATGAAAGTAAAATGATGACAGCCATCATAATTAGACCAGTTTCATTCAACTCACTTGCAAGTATAATGATGACAGCTATCATAATTAGACCAGTTCCATTCAACTCACATGAAAGTAAAATGATGACAGCCATCATTATTAGACCACTTTCATTCAACTCGCATGAAAGTAGAATGATGACAGCTATCATAATTAGACTCCTTTCATTCAACTCACTTGCAAGTATAATGATGACAGCTATCATAATTAGACCAGTTTCATTCAACTCACTTGCAAGTATAATGATGACAGCTATCATAATTAGACCAGTTCCATTCAACTCACATGAAAGTAAAATGATGACAGCCATCATTATTAGACCACTTTCATTCAACTCGCATGAAAGTAGAATGATGACAGCTATCATAATTAGACTCCTTTCATTCAACTCACTTGAAAGTATAATGATGACAGCTATCATAATTAGACCAGTTTTATTCAACTCGCATGAAAGTAGAATGATGACAGCCATCATGATAAGATCAGTTTAATTCAACTCGCATGAAAGTAAAATGATGGCAGCCATCATAATTAGACCTTTTTTCATTCAACTCTCATGAAGGTAGAATGATGACAGCCATCATAATTAGACCTTTTTTCATTCAACTCTCATGAAAGTAGAATGACAGCCATCATAATTAGACCAGTTTCAACTTGCAAGTAGAATGATAACAGCCATCATAATGAGACCAGTTTCATTCAACTCGCATTAAACTAGATTGATGACAGCCATCATAATAAGACCAGTTTTATTCGCATTTCAACTCGCATGAACTATGATAACCATCATAATTAGACCAGTTTCAAATCATACTAAAGAGTTGAAATTATTTTCATTGTAGATATGAGGCTCAACATTATAACACCATCTATATTGAGTGGTACGGTAACTTGAGGCACGTTTTATGGCTAAGATAGTTAATGAAAGAGATTTATAAGAAATGCTTAAATATTCCTGTCTAAACAACATCCTAAAATTTTCCTGGCAATGTCCCTTGGAATTTATGGTATAAAGATACAGACCAACATTTGTTTAGAATCTTGATATTTATTTAAGGATTCATTGGCCTTATTATGTAAGCAATTTATTATTAAAGAATTGGTGTTGGTCTGTTTCTTTATTTTAAGCCAACCAATTTGTCTCCAGTGGTGTCATACCTGCTTTGACCATTAACATAAAATGAGATGTGGAGAAAGTATATACCATTTTCTTAATGCCTCCGTCACATTTGCTTTAGTAGCCATTGGGCATTTTATCGATTTTGGGAGACTATGGCTACTGTATCCTAGCCATAGAGCATATGTGACTGAGACATTAGTGGTATATAGGAGACATCTGCATACTATTGAAGTATTGATTGATGAATGCAAAACAGCGAAAGGACACTCTATGTATTGTCCATATTGTCATTTTCATTATTAACTTTTATGGCAAACGATTTAACGGATTTAGTTACCATTGTTTCCTCATATGGATATCTTAAACTGATTACTTTTCGACATGGTGGGTAACTACAAAAAATCTTATCAGTGAATCCTGCCTATGTGTTTTCAGCCAAATAAGCTTCATGATTCGTGTTTTTTCATGTTAGGTTAACTATAAGGTAGCAGTATCCTGAATGAGGTTCAGGATATTGGAATTATCCCGAGGTGTATATCTGCCTACCCAGCCGGCACATAAAGCTATATCCTGCCCCCTGATGAAAATATATTTATTTATAAACCTCAAACACGTCCAAGTATGGGATAAAGTATTGATATTCCTCTCACGCGTGCAATGTTGTTCACCCCTCGTCTTATTCGTTGTATTACTATATATACATTATCATAGGTTTCAGTCAAAAACAAAGGAACTCCTACTCAATTAGACATGGAACTTGCTGAAATTACCTTGTAATATATGATTATGCCATAATAAGAATTAATTAATCAGATATTTCTTTTGTATAATGGGCTACAAATAAATGTTTGAGTTTAGGTATAAAGTTAAGTACCGCATTTGCTATAACATAATGATGCTATGTGTGTTATTTATATACCCTTATATACTTGCTAGTAAAAGGTGGATCGGGTGTCCAATAATTTGCATAAGTGCTATTGTTGTTACCCCCGTCCTCCTTGGCTCATCTGAAGTGCAGAACGAAGCATTGGGTTCATTTACCATTTGAACAAATCCGGGTTCAATAATATGTAGGCTCCAATAGGAAGTTACCAGTTTCACCACCAGGTGGCTAACTCGGATGAGATAATATCTGTAAAGAGAGTTACAATTTCATTTAGAAGTTCCAAGTTCATTTATAACTTTTGAAACCACATTTTCAGATTTAATTTCAAATATCATATTTAAAATATATGATATAACTCTCATATAGTCCATTTTCATGGGTCCTCCTTTTTGTCCAAAACCCATTGGGTCTAAAACCATATGGTCTGAATTCCAATGATCTGAAAGAACTTGTAAAAAACTCAATTGGTCCATTTATTATTTCATTCTATTCAAGTTTCTTTTATACTATTACCAGATGATATGGATATACTGGATATACCTCGCTGTACCATAGAAAAAGAAACATTTTACATTATGTAGTTTTGAGTTTGTTTTTGGACCATTAGATTTCCAACCAGTGGGATTTAGACCAATGGGATTTATATATTATTTTCTTAAATAGCCCTAACCCTTACCCGACCCATCTTGCTTGCTAGTATTGTCTTGTATTCTTTTTAGGTTGTAATTTGAAAGAGAACTTTGGTGACTTTTTAATCTATGAAAATGTTTTATTTTCATTACATGATTTTCCTCCACTTAACAGCATGGAGAGTAAAAAATCAGAATATAAAATAGAAACACTAATTTCTAAGAATTCAGTAAATGTATTCCACATCTTCTATTGCAGGCCTGACTCAGAATTGATAGGCGATGGATTTGAGGACCTCCAACCAAGACCAGAGGATCCAAATGAGGGAATAATGAAACGATCAGCCCTTATGAGAAATGTTCCATCAAATGCTCACAAAGCACAAGCAAGCAGAGAAAGACGATCTCCTCCAAGAGTACTTGATGCTCCTTTGCCAAGGACAAGAGATACAAGAGCTCTAGATGCGGCTTTGGCAGACCTTGCTATGAACGAGGACCAACCAGAAGTGAACTACACAGTTGGGGAGAGAAATGGAACAGATGTTAATGTCACAGAGGATGAGGAAGAAGAAGATGAAGAAATTCATTTATCAGCAGAGGTCCATAACAAGGAGGAGGTCTACTTAACCAACCTAGAGGCCTTCACTGAATACAATATACAGGTACTGAATACAATGTTCATGTACTGATTACAATATACATGTACTGAACACACACAATAATCATATACCAACCATGCTCAGGTACTGAATACAATACATGAACTGAATACAATAAACATACTGAACTCAATGTACAGATACAATGTCAAGAAGACGTTGAATACATTTGCAGGCCCGTAGCCAGGATTTGCCAAGGGGGGTTCAGCTTTCAAAAATTTCCAGGGGGGGTTCACATTTGACAATTTTGGCCCAAATATGGTGAAAATCACTTAAGAAGTGCTCAAAATGGTGAAAAACTGCATGATTTTGAAAGAATTTTTGGCCAGGGGGGGGAACCCTGCGAACCCCCTTTGGCTACGGGCCTGATATGCATATACTGAATACAATATGCAGAGATATGCAGAATTGTGTACAGAATACAGTTAATGACCAGTGATTGTTTGCAGGTAATGGCATGTCACGATTATGATGTGGAGGAGAGACGCCAGCTGTGTAGTCACCGTGCTATAATAACAGGAAGGACTCTTCCATCAGGTAAGACACGTTGTAGCCATATTAGGGTGTGGGGGGGGGGTACTACCTATTCTACAGGACAGGAGACTATTCGAGACTAAGTGCCATAATGGCTTTAAATCTACTACTTGTCAATATTAAGTCATTGACCAAGTTGCCATTTTGGTTTCCAGTTTATACTGAATAATTATTACTTTCTGTAACGTATGTAATGTTCTGATGTCAGCACATATCATTTTTATTTGTTTAATTTTGATAAGTATTTGATTAAAGAATTAAATTGGAGTTTATGACATATCAATAAAAACAGCTTAGTCAGTTCCACTAGAAATGAGTTGCATTCCATGGAACTCTAGAGGAACTGGTCTTCTAAATTAGTGACCTAAGATTCTTTTCTAGTAGGAACTATGTCAATCTCAAAACCAAGCGAGGGACCTCGTGAAATTAGACATTTTAGGAATATCAACAGTCCCTTATGCATGAGGTGTATAAGTTTTTACGTGACCACAAGAAGTAGTGACAAATTGTTTAGTCTCCAACTTTTTGTGGATGGTGTTCGGCTGTTGGTGTTCAGCTGTCAGCATTTCGGGTTTGACGTCTGTAACAAATTCTTACAACTTTCAATAACTTGTGGAGACATAATTTCATGTTAATTCCTTGTCTGAATTTGGGTTAACAAATGTACTCTTATTTCAGCCACTGGTGATTTGATTGAAGTATCCAATGTTACATATGACAATGTGTCTACTGGCGAGGTGAAAATAAAGTGGCTTGACCCTGTAGCTCCAAATGGTCTGATCGTCACATATGACGTTCGCTACAAAAAAGCAGATGTAAGTTGATCAGACAAGCTGTGTTAAGTGCAGAAATTTGATTTAAGATTCTGAATTTCAAAATCCTGTAAAAAATATTTTGCGCAATTTCTGGATTGTGGCATCATATTAGTGAATCACCTTGATTCACCGGGTTTCAGTTCCTCCAACTTCACCTTGATATCTCTTGTATATAATTCTATTCCCATTTAAAGCTGTTTATATTACTTCAACATTTGTTCATTTGACTTGTAGATCCGGGAAGAGATCAAATGTATACCACACAAGGTATATCGGAAAATGAATGGAACTATACTGAGTGGCTTGAATCCTGGAAACTGGTCATTCCAAATCCGTGCATCCTCCCTTGCAGGCTTCGGCAACTGGACACCCATGTTTTATGTGCATGTCAAAGATAGGGGTGGTAAGTTTACACATGTTTACCTTGTTTTAATGTCCAAAATTACAGAATGTATTTTTTCAGCTCTTTTGTGGTGATATACGAGTACAAAGATTTTTAGGTATTTTATTCCATAATTATATCCACAGCCAACAGAATTCATTTACTTTTGATTTGAAGGATTATTTACGTTAAGTAAATTGTAACATTCTAGAACAAAACAATTCTGTATTTTCCTTTTTATGTATTAAACTTGCACATCACCCTTGAATGCAATCTTGGGTTGTTCCGGGGTCAACTGTAAGATTTTGAGCTATGATGAAATAATATACGATGGTGAACTAATGGAGCAAATCTTGCGTACAAATACTCAAGATAAATGTGTCATTATGCTTTGATATTACGCAGGAATCTAATTTATGACCACGCCAACTTAATATTAGATCATAATAATCTTGTTGGCTGTATAAAAATGTAAAAAATTGCGTTTTGAGGCCACGTGCAGGTTTAATCGTCATATGTGTTAACCTTTGTTTGTGTTAACCTTCGTATGTGTTAACCTTCATATGTGTTGACCTTATATTACTAGGTGGTACCACATATATGGCTGAGGGCATAATTGCAGCCATAGTAGCCAGCGTTGCTGTGTTCATAGTTGTGGTTATCCTGGGGAGTGTCTGGTACATTGCCAAGCGTCGCTTCAATAATAACATTCCTGATGGGATCCTTTATGCCTCTGTCAATCCTGAGTATATGAGTGCCCAAGATGGTGAGTGCATGGTCAGACTATAGGACAAAGGGGTGTAATGTCGACGTGTGGGGTAATGTCGACATAATAGACGGGGTAACTTCGACAATTATGTATTAGAAGTAGAATTTCCGTTTTCCGCCATGTTTGATTTCTGGAAAAATTAAAATCTCGCGAGATCTCGATCCATGCGAGAAAAAAAACATGGCTTCACCCTAGATCGGAAATTAGAGCAAATAAACAACAAGGTGTCGAAGTTACCCCACATGTCGAAGTTACTCCAAAATGGTGTCGACGTTACACCCCTTCGCCCTAGCTGTGAACCAATTAAAAATGTTCTCTAACACAATGAAATATATATTTTATATTCTGTCTTGTTAGATGTCACAAATGTAAAGATAATGAAATTCAATCGATTTTTTTTTGTGGATTAAAAAAAGTTTGTTAGAAATGGGATTTTATCCTCAAAAATGGGGACCATAATTTTTTAGTTTTACACCGGACTCTTTTTCACTTATTAGGTTTTTAATTATTGTTCTCTTGCATGTGTGCATCAATTTTATTTTTATTATTCAGTTTATGTCCCTGATGAATGGGAAGTGCTAAGAGAAAAGATTAACATCACTCGTGAGCTGGGCCAGGGGTCATTTGGTATGGTATATGAGGGTGTTGCCAAAGATATTGTGCCTGGCCAGGGCAGTGTAAAAGTAGCAATTAAGGTAAGTAAAAACTATTTTTTATTCAACTGGCTCAACTGAAATAGCCCTCATTGAATTACTTTCTCCGGAATAGCTCTCATTGAATTAAATTCTCTGGAATAGCCCTCATTGAATAATATTCCCTGAAAATATCCTCACTTCCACTTACTTTCACTTGAAAAGCCCTCATTGATGTGGTAATATTTTATTCTGATAAAATGGTTCATGAAATAGCTCTTGAAATTATCTTTTCTGTAAAGTATTTTAACAATCAACTGAAAATCAGTCCTTTTAGTATATCCTTGAAATAGCCCTTGTGTTTTATTCTGTCACCCCTACAAGTGGCAACATATTATTATATTCTCCAACTTTTTTGTGGATGATGTTCGGTGTCTGGCTTTTGTGTAACAAATGGTAGGTGGTGACATTTTGCATGTTAATGCCTTGTTGTGAAAGGAAATAGCCCTCACTGAAACAGAATTTTGGTATGGAAATCCAAGACGTGCAGTTATCATTAATAAATACAACAAGTCTAGTGTCTAAATATTATTTCTTCCAGACTGTAAATGAGAATGCTACTATAAGAGACCGTGTGGAGTTCTTAAATGAGGCTTCAGTGATGAAAGCATTCAACTGTAACCATGTAGTCAGGTTGTTAGGTGTCGTCTCCAAGGGGCAGCCAACTCTAGTCATAATGGAATTGATGGGCAAGGGAGACTTAAAAAATTATTTAAGAATGCATCGTCCAGATGCCGAGGTAAATACCACTTTGGTTTAGTAAGTTAAGCTTATGTCTATAAATAAGGTTTACCATATTTGCCTTTATGAAATTTATGGAAACAAAGAAACAATTTTGACAAAGTAATTAAATGTTTTTAAAGAGATAAAATAAATCCGACCCTGCTTTAGCAATGGGACGCCTGAAGGTTGAATATTACTTAATATATCCTATAGATTTATTTGATAGCAACCATAACTCTACCCGAGTTTCATAATCTTTGTAGAAACTTTGCTGTTTTAGTTACAATACTTGAAGGTACATTATGTTAAATTTTGAAGACAATTGGTGCATATTTAAAAAAAATACCAGCACCAGTTCTGTTACTTTTGGAACACCCTGTATCATAACAATTACTGTTACTACTGGAACACCCTGTATTGTAACTAAATACATTTATGTTTTTATGATGAGTGATCTCACCAGCTATAAAGCAAGTGGGTGCTTCACCCATTTGAGGTTTTTATTAAGATAAGCTTGCACCAACTTGATAACCTATTTGCACCTAGATGATATTTAGAAAGATCATTACAAATAAGAGAGAACTCTAATGTATGTTTCTAAATAATGCATGTTCTGATATTAGTATGTTTTGCCTTCAGGATAACATAGGCAATCCTCCACCATCATTAAAAAGAATTCTACAAATGGCGATTGAAATCGCAGATGGCATGGGATATCTAGCCGCCAAAAAATATGTACATCGAGATCTCGCAGCTAGAAACTGCATGGTCTCTGAGAATCTCGTGGTCAAAATTGGAGGTGAGAGTTAAGATTATGTAGTTTTCAATGCAGTTCATCAAAAATACATACTGTATGACAAATTACACCAACGAATTGATTACATAATCAAAATCTATTATAAACAGTTTGCTCCAATTTTAAAGAATTTGCAAGGCCAATATGATTTATTTTTATTTGATCACATTTGAATCATGTTTAAAATCATGCATCTACTAATATAGTGACAAATATTTTTCATTTCAGATTTTGGTATGACGCGAGATATTTATGAAACAGATTATTACCGTAAAGGAGGTAAAGGGCTATTACCAGTCAGGTGGATGGCCCCAGAGTCTTTATATGATGGAAAATTTACAAATATGTCCGATGTTTGGTAAGTGAAGTCTCAAATGAATACATTAACGTTTAAGCTATGGGGTACAAAGATGTTAATATGTTTAATGGTGAAGACCAAAACCCAAGATATCAGGAATATGGTCAAATTGCAATATTAAAGTTCAAATGACAGCCCAGTTGAGCATATTTCATGATTTTGAAATAATGTCATGAATTTAGGCCATATTCTATAATTCCTATGGAAATGAAATTGTGCATATTTTTTGCAGTTACGAAATAACCCCATGTAATATAGGAACCTATTATACAGCAAGGATAAATTGCTTTGTTTGTGATGTATTTTGACAAAAAAGCTTTGTAACAAAGTATTTAATGCTTGTTTAACACCTTATAGAAATCCTTTGTTAAATAGCTTTTTGTCAAAATGCTTCGAAAGGAAGCAATTCAATCTGCTGTGGAAATCTAACCATAAAATGATACAATTTTGTTTAATGTAGAAGTAACTTTTGTATTCTTTGTATTTGCTACGATTGTGAACGATTATGAACCTCTTTGTGGACAATACAAATTAGCCCATGTTTCTAGGTCATATGGTGTTGTGCTATGGGAGATGGCTACCTTAGCTGCCCAGCCCTATCAAGGCCTGGCCAATGAAGAGGTCCTAAAGTTTGTTATAGATGGGCACGTAATGGAACCCCCTGATGGCTGCCCCAGGAAACTGTGAGTTGATTCTTTTTGTATTATTTCAAAAAGGCGCAACAATGACGAGGGTTCTTACCAGCCCTCATGGATTTGGACACTATGTTAAATCTTTAATAACTTACATAATTGATCAGATACCTGTTTTTAAGGATTGTAGGGAAATTGGCCTGCTTTTTGTTGTTGGAAAGATTGCCTCGTAAAGTTTATATTTCTATTCATTGTTGCCTTTAACTTTTATAGGAGGATATTTGCATACATATTATACATAACATAACACCTTAAGAGACGTAAAGGTTATTTATTGAAAGTTTGAACGTAAAAGAATCATTCATTGGTTTTATATTTACAAATTGAATATAGCATGCATAAATGTTTTGATTGTACTGTACATTAAGTACATGTATTTTATTTGTGTTTCCAGTTATGACATAATGTCCATGTGCTGGAGATTTTCAGCGAAAAGTCGACCAACATTTTTAGACTTAATAGAAATCCTACTACCAGATGTAGATGAAAGTTTCCAAAAGACGTCGTACTATTATAGCGAAGAAAACAGCGATTATCTAAATAATCCACGCATTAGAAACGATGACGTTAATGTCAGTATGAGTAGTTTTGATGATGTGGACAAATCTGGAGAAGATGAAGACATTGGGGATGAACTTGGTACCCCAAGGACACATAGCGCTGGAGATCTTGATGTAGAAATTCACACAAAGGGAGAGGGAGCTCCACTGAGGGGTTCTAATCCACATAAAACAAACCCATATACGAACTCTCCAAAGCGTCGTAGTAACCCTGGTACTCCCAAGTTCATGAATGGGGGCCATGGCAGTGACTCAAATGAATCAAGGGGAGATAGTAATTCTAGCGCAGCTGAGCGTATCCCTCTACATGAGACCAGTAGTTTCAGTAGCAGTGCAGTGGACTCAAATGAAGGGAGCAAAGAGAGCAGTAAGAGTGACAGCAGTAACTGCTCAGGGCGGAACGGCCTTGTGAACGGTCATGCAACACTTTACTATCCGCAGTCGACCAATTGCTAATGAGGCTATTATAAGTTGTAAAGCTGTGGTCAAATTATAAAGCAGTATTATGGCACAGAGGAAGAACTACACTAAACGTGCATAGTTTTCTATATCCACCAAAAACCTGCCACCAAGGAATAGGTGGCGCCTCACGAGCATGGGGCTGTGGCCTAGTGACTCCCCCTAGTGAGGTTGAGCGAACTACTACAGCAAGCATATGTGTAGACTGGGTTTAACCAATCCCAGGGCACTTCCAATGCAAATGTCACACAAACTGTACGCAATGCACTTAAAACGTCAACCATGTACTCAAACTGTACGCATTGAACTTAAAAGTGTTTCAGATATCCTTCACACTGCATGTAATGCAAGTACTTTGTACAAGCGATATACTTCCAAAGTGTCTATGTATAATACACGCAGAACAATGCGAAATATCTGTATACATGTACATTCAATTGTAAATGTATACAATGTTGTATATTGTGTATTTGAGAAGGTAACACCAAACATACACTTTTCTCAAAGAGAGAGCGATTATACATACAAACTACATGTAAAAGCATGAGGAAACCCGATTAGTGGTCGAAGAATTGATATTAATGAATTTTGTAGATACTCTTACGGGAATTATGCCTCCATCATGTATCATTCTTAGAGATATTTTAGTGATTATAAGATTCAAACTGATGTTAAATAGAATTAATGTTTTCATGACCTGAATATATGTATATACTTCAAGTACTGTACTGTATAGCTACTGTATTTTAGTCTTGAGTTTTGTACATTGGACCTAGCACTGGCTTGTATTTATCATGAATGTAAAATTGAAGCTTGAAATTAAGGGTGCCAATAATTAAAGAATCAGCTGGCAAAGATGAGAAATTATATTTTTAGTTCCATAAAATGCTGAAAGGTGGAGCTGGTCAAGTAACAGTGCCCTCTGTGCAATTATTAACCCTCTCTATAGTGCAATATTTTAACTATAATTGTCAAGATAGGATATTCATCATTTTATTGGAAATATTAATCATAATTCTATCCTTTATTATTCAATTTTAACAGTCTATAGCACATTTTGAAGCTTAGAGAATTCCCAACAAGAAGTTTTCTTTGTGTTTTCTCATGTATTTAATATTTATTTTAGAAGCAATTAGAAATTGAACTTATATCTAATTTTAGAGTAAATTACATGTAGTTCTCTCTTTGTACACTGTGATACTTATAAAAGCAGCAAAGTAGATATGATATGACTACTATGATGGTGAATGAGATATACACTAAAATGTGATTAAAGTGCCATTTTAAATTGCTTTTAATATAAATATGGAATATTATTCTGACAAATTGAAGGAGCCGTCATTAGAGATTATCTAAGCTTTAAAAAGCCAGAGATATGACATGATTCTCAAATGGCTGTAATGAGTACTATTATGTTATACCATTTCTTCAGCTCTTTATGGATTTAGTTTAAAATGTATAAAATGTACTTATGAGATCCTGTAGACATTGCAGTTTAACAATTAATTGCAAAAATCATATATTATTCCAACTTAAGAAATGTTCATAATCAAGAGAAATGTTCATAATCAAGAAACATTAAAACTAATTATTATTATTATTATTATTATTATAGTTATCATAAGTGCATACACAGAATACCTCGTATCAGAAATAGTCACATGGTTTATCTGTGGCATAGAATTTCCAATCCAAGTACAAAGTACCATATTCTGCCTATTCAACACACAAGAATTTTAACCGAATGAAAAGTTTGTGTTTGAGCCGGTAGAGAAAATATGGTAACGTGCTTAGAGAAGTAATTTAATATGTACACCTCAGGTAGTTCCAATGAGCTAGCTCTGATTTATGGGCTTTATTTATGGGTAAATTATTGTAGGACCATTTTATGGTCCTGTTTACAGTACACTGCAGAGTAATTCCTCGGACAGAATTCCTGTCTCCCCCTCCCCCAGCCAAGAAAGATGATATATACTCCCAGTCATTCATCCTCTTCACCTCATTCACATCTACACTGACACCCATTCTGCCTGACAGGGTACAATTAAACCTGTTAAATTGTACACCACTTGATGCGAACATTTTTTTCTCAGCCTCAATTTTGTTATCTTTCAATGTCTCACATTCTAAGAACACCTTGAAATGTGACTCACATTCTAAGAAAACCTTGAAATGTAACTCACATTCTAAGAACACCTTGAAATGTGACTCGCATTGTAAGAACACCTTGAGATGTGACTCACATTTCAAGAAAACCTTGTAATGTGACTCACATTCTAAGAAAACCTTGTAATGTGACTCACATTCTAAGAACACCTTGAAATGTGACCCACATTCTAAGAACACCTTGAAATGTAACTCACATTCTAAGAAAACCTTGAGATGTGAACACTTGCTAATCCGAACACTGCCAGTTCCAGTTGTGTTTGGATTAGACAGGTTTTACTGTACACAAAAGCAATCAGTGTTTCTTCCCTTAAGTTTAATTCACATTATTTATGACTTGTTTGTACTATTAATTGAATACCTATCTATTTACATTTCTGATTATTTAAGGAAGTGATTATAGCACTTCAATGTGCTTATATATAACATTCGATGTAAGAAACCAAATGCTGACATATTTGACCCTGTTTTCTAAACATATGTACAGCAAGATAAACATGTAAAACTGGGAACAAGTTATTTTTTATTTATTTGGTTTTGCCTGAGTATAAAGGCATAGAAAGGGGCACAGATTTGTATGGGATAAAACTAATGTGGAAAACATTAAGAATATCTCTAAATCTGTTAATCCAACTTGGATTAAATATCATCCTCCGAACACAGGCCTCCAGAACTCGTACCTCCTTCTTCTTTACTTCTTCCTCTTTCTTGGAAGAAGGAAGGAACGTAGTCGATGATATCTGGAGCCCTGCGTTGGGAGGATGATTAAATATGTGCTTTAATAAATATTATACAAGTGCTTTAAAGTGATCCGTTACAAACTCTGACCTTAAAACTCCATTTTTAAAATCAGTTAAATTTGCAATTTGCACCATTAATATACTTTGATATGAAATTTTTATGTTCATGTGCATTGTGCCTGCATCTTATAAATACATCCAGTGCTAATTGAGCAGTTTTTCAAATTGCAATATCTACTGAAAAGAAGATCTGTATGAATGTTTGTTTATTGATGGTGCAAGTTATCGATTGTCTGAATTTTTATGTATTTTAGGATCAGAGTTAGAGACCGCGCCATTAAAATCCTAATTATGTGTAGGAGATGTGCTTTAATTAATATTAGATATATTAGTAACTATGTGTTCCTGATCAAATTATTTCTCAAATTGAATTATTTTCAGAGACAATGTATGACACATTTTAGTCGTATCACAACATTTTCCACCAAATTGGAAAAGTTTTTTTTATTATTATTATTATGATATGTTATATTGAATTAGTCTCCAAAGAGGCTGTTGTGTACAGATATTGTCAAAAATTGTGGTAAAATTTTCTACAATACAAGTGTCCTCTGAACACAATGTGGTACAATATAAGTGTTCCCTGAGCATAATATGGTACGAATATAAGTGTTCACTTAGCACAATGTGGTACGATATAAGTGTTCTCTGTGGTACAATATAAGTGTTCCCTGAGCACAATGTGGTACAATATGAGTGTTCTCTGAGCACAGTGTGCTACCAATATAAGTGTTCACTGAACACAATGTGGTACTATGTAAGTGTTCTCTGAGCACAATGTGGTGCATATATTGATTGACCTGTAAGATATGTACAGATAAAATATAAATTAGTGAATAAATGAAACCTCATGTATAAATTATTACATAGTATTTGTGTTTCATGAGTTAAAATGGAGAGAAATGTTATCCGAGGATCGTGAAACGTTCTTTATTTTTAAGTCCAAGACCAATGTAAGCATTACCCCAGTAAAAATGCCTTGAAATCAGAATTTAGAAAATAAACCTTTGCAAATGATTCTTAAAATGCCAAAAGAACAACATTATGAGTCAGATTATTTTGGTATGTCGACATCTAATGTCATTTGGTGATAAAAGGAACATAACATATCTCGTAATGGATTAATTAACCCTTTCCTGCCCAATCAAACCGATTGGCTCAAAAGTCATTTCACAAGCCCACCTTAATGATTCAGGTCTCAAAAGTTATTCAACAAGCCCACCTTAATGATTCAGGTCTCAAATGTTATTCAACAAGCCCACCTTAATGATTCAGGTCTCAAAAGTTATTCAACAAGCCCACCTTAATGATTCAGGTCTCAAAAGTTATTCAACAAGCCCACCTTAATGATCCAGGTCTCAAAAGTCATTTCACAAGCCCACCTTAATGATTCAGGTCTCAAAAGTTATTCAACAAGCCCACCTTAATGATTCAGGTCTCAAATGTTATTCAACAAGCCCACCTTAATGATTCAGGTCTCAAAAGTTATTCAACAAGCCCACCTTAATGATTCAGGTCTCAAAAGTTATTCAACAAGCCCACCTTAATGATTCAGGTCTCAAAAGTTATTCAACAAGCCCACCTTAATGATCCAGGTCTCAAAAGTCATTTCACAAGCCCACCTTAATGATTCAGGTCTCAAAAAGTATTCAACAAGCCCACCTTAATGATTCAGGTCTCAAAAGTTATTCAACAAGCCCACCTTGATTCAGGTCTCAAAAGTTATTCAACAAGCCCACCTTAATGATTCAGGTCTCAAAACTTATTCAACAAGCCCACCTTAATGATCCAGGTCTCAAAAGTCATTTCACAAGCCCACCTTAATGATTCAGGTCTCAAAAGTCATTTCACAAGCCCACCTTAATGATTTGGGTCTCAAAAGTCATTTCACAAGCCCACCTTATTGATCCAGGTCTCAAAAGTCATTTCACAGGCCCACTTTAATGATCCAGGTCTCAAAAGTCATTTCTCAAGCCCACCTTAATGATTCAGGTCTCAAAAGTCATTTCACAAGCCCACCTTAATGATTCAGGTCTCAAAAGTTATTCAACAAGCCCACCTTAATGATTCGGGTCTCAAAAGTAATTTCATATTCCCACCTTAATGATTCGGGTCTCAAAAGTCATTTCCCAAGCCCACCATTATGTTTCAGGTCTCAAAAGTCATTTCACAAGCCCACCTAATGATTCAGGTCTCAAAAGTTATTCATCAAGCCCACTTCAATGATGCAAGTGTCAAAGATCATTCATCAAAGTCCACTTTAATGATATGAGTCTCAAAAGTCATTCAACAAGGCTTTGGAACATCT